CTGCCACAGCCTCCGGGTGTCAGCGCACTGCGTTTCAAGCCACACTCTGTAGCTCCATTTGGCGCATTTTACGGCTTCTTCTAATGCATACCGTGATTTCTTGAACAGCTCTTCGTCCCCCGATTTGAACGCGGTGGATCTATCTTTTATTTTATTGCGTATGTCGTGGTTGAACCACGGTTTCTGATTGGGAAATGACCTAATTTTCATTTCTGGTACACAAACGTCGGTGCAGTATTTAATATAGCTGGTGACAGCATCCGTATACTCATTTAAATCTGTGTCGGGAGCTCTGAATGCGTCCCAGTCTGTACTATCAAAGCAGGTTTTAGTTGAAACCTCCTAAGTTTCAATCCCATTGGTATGGCAGTTCCAAAGACAGAGGGAGTAGTGATTAGAACCCTGGACTCTGCACCTGAGGGTGTGGATTGAAATGCTCTGTAGAAGGTGCTGTTCTACAACTGAGTGAAGTACAGGTGCACCTTGCTTTGCATAACATAAACATGCATAGATTTGTTATAGTAGAATTAATTTTATTATTTTTTTTAATAATAATCAGTCAAACATTACCAAAACCGAAACACTACATTCACCTTGCATAGATTGATGGCATTGCTCTTTAGAAAATCGATAACTTCAAAACAAAATAATTTAAGTCCACAGTAAGTCTAAAATCAAACAAAGTAAATGCTCTTTACCTGCAGGCTGATGTGCTCCCTCTCCCCCTGATAAGAGTGTTGATTGTATCCAATTAGCTTCCTTATTTTAGTTTTAAACAAATTTAAAGCTTTCTTACCTAGTTTGTTTAAGCACCTGCAACAGGGAATGCTTGCATAGATCTTGTTTTTTTAAACATTGAAGACAGAGTGAGGCAAACGAAAGTGGGAGAAACGTAAGTGATCAGAATATGGTGTGCTTTGAAATATATTTTAAAACTTTTCAAGTTGAGTCTTAAGCAAAAGTTTACATATTCTAGAAAGCAGACTTTTATGGAATTAAACAGAGATTAAGAGAAGTAAAATGGGTTACGATATCTATGAAACTAATAGACAATGGCAACAATAAAATATATTCTGCATGAAACACAGAACTATTTTGTCCCACGTTTAAAGCAAAATCTAAAATTGAACAACATGCATACAGTATGTTGCGGTAACTTCTGCGGTAACTTCAGGCAGTAAGGTTGCATTTGTTTAACAAATTCAATGGTGGTGTTTTCTCAGTTGTTTGCAAAGGGTTTCTTTTTAAACAGTTATTTGGATATTTACAGTTTCAGTATCCATAACCTGTCCTGTGTTCAAGACAATTTTCTTATTAAATTCCTGCTTATGTTTGTCATGACATGTAATACACAGGCAAAGAATTTGCATGTCACACAGCCAATGTAATAGCTGTTTTTCCTGTAGTTTAATTTGCAACGTTGCACATTGTATTGTATCTTTTATTTTCTTTGTTTCTGCCCTCTATCTTCAGCTGAATGCTCTGTTTCGTCATTAAAATCTGTAACTTAGGTTCATTACAAAACACCAATCAATTTTTAAACACTTTTCATTATTTTTTAGTGTTAAACATTTGCTTACTCCTGTGTTTCAACGATAGAAGCTTTTCCATGAATTAGGGGTGACCTCGGAAGGAGAAGCAGGCTCTCTCTCAGAACAATTTCACGATTGATTGCAAGATCAATAGGAGAGTGTGAAAGACTATGAAAGTGATCATTTACAGTAAACTACAAGGAGAAAATAAAAGACTGGCTCTACAGATGTCTTTCACTGCAGTATACCATTAAACAGACCTGTAACTCTCTTGTCCACTCAGTGCAATAAAAACATTTCAATTGGTCAAATGCATCAGATTAACAGCATAAACCACAGAAAAGTATTTTTTGATTCCTATAATATGTGAATAATTTGCTGAAAGGGTTTGGTCATTATTGTTAATATTATTATTTGTGATTAAAATTTAGTTTTATTTGCTGAACTTGCAGAATAAGTAAAATACACAGGAAAAATGTTTTCAGTTTAATACCCCATATTCACATCTATATTAGATTTAATTACAATGCAGTGTGAAATACTGCATTAACTGCATCATGTGTATTAATGTCTTGCTCCATATACTGTATGTTAACACATCAGTAAGTACTTCTTCTTGCCAGCATTTCATAAATAATCGCACCTGTAACTGTGACAATAACAAGTGACCCATCCTATTTATAGGACATATTTTAATCACATGAGAATTGTTTAGAGACAGTTTCTAGCAAGTGACATCAGAGTATTGACTTAAATTGTGCATTAAGAAACCTGCTGTATGTGTTTCACAAATCCTTCCTGAAAGACCACTTGTTTCAAACCATTTAAAAATTTTATCTAAAGAAAATGAGAATCTCCGATAGTGTTAAAAAGAAATGACCACTGGAGATTAATGGCTGCCTCTGTTTGTAAGGCCAGTGTCCCCCAGGGTGGGGTGGTCCAGGAAATGATGCAAGCTGATGCCAAAGTCTTCTGTATCTGGGTGATCATAGCTGAATGACACTTATTTAAATATTCATCTGATATTAATTATTAAGGCTGCAATTGCTTTGACCTTGATACCTCATATGTTACTAATGTTCTTGTTACTTGCTTGCATAAATCCACGATTAAAGCACTGTCTTCAAAGATTGATTCACTTCAACAGTTCAGTTGTAAGTGCATGTTATATTGCATTTCTTTGCAATACTGTAAAATGTATGAAAAGTAATTTAAGATCAGCAGTCATACTGTGTTTGTGATTTGTGGAGGGATTAGCATTTGAAAATAAGAATGGTTACAAACCAGGATAGTGACTTCAATAATATGGCTAGATGGCTTGTTCTGTACTCCTGCAAACTTTTGCATAAAAAAGTGCCTCCTGTTCCCGGCTTTAAATGCCCTTCTGCTTAGTCTCCACTTGTCACTGTTATTTCTAAAAGGTCTGTTGGGTTGACTTATTCAGTGCCTTTGAGATTTTGAGGTTGGGTATTTGTGTTTAGTCTACATGATAACAAGTCCTATTATATGGCATATGCCAAGCGCAAAGCCACTTACAGTACATGCTGCTGCGAGTGTCTGTACATAAATAAATAATCATCATTACCTGACCTTTGCCATTTTAAAATAGAATAGGACATGGCCTGTATTCCATGGGAATGGGCAGTAAGCTCTAGCACAGTAAGTGTTGTAGTGGCCTACATTGTAAAGCCTGGTGCTACAGGGTTTTAAGGTTTTGATTCAAATTTCAAGTTAGATTTGGATGGCAATTAATATAAATTATAGACCTAATCAAATATGAAAAACTTTTTTTTTTAGAAAAACCTGAATGGTCTTTCTTGGTGGTTCTCGTGTTCCAGTTAGATTTAAATCGCAATTAAAATGTAAGATTTAATAGTTTCTGCTGTTTTTCTGTATATTAGGTAAGAGTTTATCATAACATTATTTGCACTAAATATAGCTTAACATTAGCAGTGCAAATTTATAAGAGTGCTGATTTATAAAAGCAGTATTTGAAGTGCATAATGGTTCAGTTAGTCAGTTTATTCTTGGATCTGTTTGACCAGTTTCTGAATATCAGTGTGCAAAGGGGCAGAAGAGGTTTGTCTACTACTGTATGCAGACCTCTTGTTGAAGTAACATGGTATAGGTATAGAAAAGAGTGATCAATACTTTATATGTATTTCCAGCATCTCTGTGAATTTTGTTTTTGTTTTCTTTCAGTATGTGTTCTGCAACACAATTCACCACAGATGTATCTGTCTTTATCCCTCTACTTCTCTCCACCAATGTGTGATTCATAAACTCCCAGAGTGACTCAGTTTTGTGAGTTTACAAGCTTCCAAAGTTCTGAAGAATGCTTAGCCATTTTATAGTGTTTTAGTAAGTGCTCTTAAAGGGATGTCAACACATGGGTACATTTAATGTTACAGCGTTATAAATGTTTAATGACTGGAGCTGCAGAGTGCTCTTGTCTCTGAAGAGCTGAGAGCTGCTTCTTCTGTATGTTCACGCTATCTTAATTCTGCCTCTTCCCACAATGAGAAGCATCTTCAACAGCAGAACACTCAGAGCAATAAAATCCAGATTTCCTTTGCTAGCTGAGCCATCAGACAGAATCTATGAAAGAAAAACAGATTTATTTTTGGAACGTAAAAAGTGGGAGAAAAAGTTAACCATTTTAAATCCTTCTTTCTTACAGCCTCAGAAGAGAGATGAGCATCAGCTAGATTCTAAAGTCAGCCCCATGAAAAGTGCAGAGCCTGCTGTTGATCTCTTAGGACTTGGTGAGTAATGATTAACCCATTTCCCCAGGTGGCACAGGGCCAAGTGGCTTTGGGAGGGGCTTACTCCAAGCAAGCCCAGCTGTAGTGTTCAGTAGGCCTGAAATAGCATAAGTTGAAAGTTTTTTAAACTAATGCTACTTTTCCACTACTATGCCCAAGCTGTGCCAATGCCACAATCATGCTTGTGTATTTTTCCCCTGCACTATTTAAGCTGCTGTATTTGACATTGCTTGTGTAATATATGTGGAAAAGCTTCTCACAGAGAGCATAATTTTACATCTGAGTAGAAATTCTCTCAGCTTTAAGCAATTGTTTGCCCATTGCTGTTAATTATGACTTTTGTATAGGAGGTTGCTTTTTTTATATCAGAATTAACGTTCCAGCTCTTCTTGGATACTGAAAATTATCCAGGACTGAACTTCCTTTTTTTGCATGTATAGCAACTCTATTCAGTTTTGCACTGCAAGGATTGATGCAATGTGATGTCATTACTCCTGCCTCATGGTTGCTTACTGCTGAGCCTGTGATACAGCCCTGCACTAGACTGGAGCTTCTCAGGTTGGTTCTTGCTCAGCTTGACAAAGCAGCCAGTGCACCTGTATCATACACAGTACTCATGAATCAATTGTGCCATTGGTAGAAGGATATAAGACACATGTAATGCTGTTTGTGCTATTAATAATTGTTATCAGCTTATTTGGATGACAGGTTTATCCAAAGTAGCTTGCATATCCAGCCATGTACACAGCTGGGTGTTTTTCTGGAGTAATCTGAGTGCTCAAGAGCACAATAGCAGTGCTCCTCCGGGGATTTGAAACCAGGCCCAGATCCATGACCACTGCTCTGCACTGCTGCTCAGCATTAAACAGAATTTAATTGAAACAGCATTAAATCAGAACTAAGCACTCTAAATGGAGACAATTTGAAATTTGTATTATAGTGGCTATTAAAATAGATTATGCCTGCCCTCCCCACTACCTACATTCAGATTATATGGGATTGCACAAGTATTGGCGAAGACTTTCCAAATGAAGGATTTTCAGGGTAGTGTAGCCTTCTGATGATGCACAGTCTTTTAATGGAATGTAAGTGGTGAGCAGCAGTAAACAGGCAATGATGTTGTGTAGTTTGGATTTTAAGGAGACGTGGTTTTGACCCACGGAGGGGCCTTTGCTGCTTTCATCTTCAGTTTTTCAGCTTCAGTACTATCCTTGGAGACCAAGGCAGCCATCTATTTACAATCAGTTGAAAATAAGCCAGTGCTGTAATCAACTGCAGTTACTGTTCTGAACTGTCCCAGCTTCATTATCCAGCGTCATCAGAACTATACTTCCTTAAACTTGTGACTTGCCCGAATGTAATATTTTCAACTAACTTTGGTGCATCTCTGTCTGCATCTCTTTCTCTTTCTCATCTCTTCCTGAATGAAGAATGTCCCGTTTTTCTTAGACAGGGACTTAATATCTTAAAGATATTTCATCCCGATCAACTGTCATCATTGATACAGTTTTCTTGTACTTATGATCTGTTCACGTGTCTCAGGTAGTAAAGAAAAGTGTATCAAGACCTGCATAAAAGTATTTGAAATACCTAGTTAGTTTTTATTTACATATTAGTATCTTTCTCATTAGCATTCATTTAGTTATTTTCAGTGTATCTTCCTCTTTCGGGATTACTTGCTCTTAATGTGCTGCTCAGCATTAACCTTCTTGAGTTCATTGTCTGTGTTCATTGTCAATGAACCTGTTTAATTTTCCCTACTTCTGCAGTCATTGTACTAGTAAACCTTTCAGATCTTTGTCTTGGTCAAAATTAATTTGTCAACAGCATAAAAAACATCATAGTATTACTGCAGATATTTACATAGCCATATGTAAGAGTATAAAGAGATGAGATAAGACCATATACAATTTCTTGTATTAGGAATTTGTCTTTTTCACATACTCCAACTTGCTGTCTATGAGAGACAGACACTCAGCCAGGGAGTAAAGCTTGGGGTCAGAGGGCAGGGTCAGCCATTAATATGGCGCCCCTGGAGCAGTTGGAGTTAAGGGCCTTGCTCAGGAGCCCAACAAAGTAGGATTCCTCTGCCAGCCGCAGGATTCGAACCAGCAACCTTTGAGCCACAGCGCAGATCCTAAGCCACAGAGCCACCGCTCCGCCCATGTGAGACACCCTCCATCTCCCACTAGGTTTTTCACTAATTTAGTAAGTGTATTAACGATTGTGCTGTATCGTAATTATTGCACAATAATTCATCCTAGCCAATGGTAGTTTTTGCTCAATTAACACATTTTAGAAATCCAATACGATTCAGTACAGGTGGGTAGCTGTGTCAGCATGTGTAGGCTGCAAAGGAACAAGTAATAGGTTTATTCCATGCTGGAAAAAAAAGAAGAAAGAAAACAGAACGTTTTGGCCTTGGAGCCTTGGAAGAAGCCTCCACGGCCTGAAGAAGGCTCCACGGCCGAAACATTGTGTTTTCTTTCTTCTTTTTGTCAGCATGGAATAAACCTATTACTTGATCCAGTACAATTATTTGTTTTTGCACTTATGTTTTGTAGTAGAAGCACTTCTGCTCAATTACCTTACTTTTTGTAGAGATTATGAATACAATTTACTATGATGCACTGTTTGTGTATCTGTGTGTCGGAAATATATTTATGCTATACTGTATATATATATGAAAAATATATAGGCCTTTTCCAATTTATATTAATGATTCCTAAAGGAGTACTGCTGCTAGGATATTTGAACAATTGCCAACACTAGTTCTGGGGGGTTTAGGTGCACCCATAAATCATCACTGGCTTAAGATCAGCCATTGCTTTGTCCAGGGCATTATTGATTCAGTTGTGAGGCTGAAGGCATGAGGTTGAACAGAAAGCCGGAGCACTCTATGGCTATTGAGCACAGAGGCTGGATGGCCATGTTATATGACTGAAGTAATTTCCTTGTGATGAGGATTGACAATTGTCCTAATGACTGTTCTAATTAGGAGATAACCCACACCACGTGCTGAGATCCCAGAGAAAGCTCTGGGATCAATCCATGCCTCTAAACCATCCTCATAAATATGGATCCTACTTTAAAGTTAATTTGCTTGATGTTATTGCAGTCCTATGTTTACTGAATTGGCTCTAAGAAAAAATTGTAACACACCTTAATTGTGTTTGAAAATCCACATGCCCTGTAACATGTTATTTCTCGATAAAAGGTGCATATCATCAGGTTTCTTGTCAGTTACTCAGGCAACAAATTAATGAAATAAATAGAGAAAATACCATTTAAGCATGAATTTGTTATGATGGAAATTTGGAGCAATGACTACCATCCTGTGTAATTTAAGTGACATGTTGAAATCATCATATAAGTCTATTTTTCTGCCTTTTTCTTGTATTACAAACATAGCTTTGCTGTTTCTCAAAAGTGTTCTGTCTGCAGATCAGTAATGGCATTGATTTCAGCTATGGAGTTATTACCTCTCATTGATTGGTTTGCTTATGTCAGGCAGTGGTTGACAGAATCGAACAGAAAGTAGGGAAATCACTCAAGCTTTTAAGTCACTTTGCATTTTTTGTATTTCATTGTTTTATGTTTGTTTGAGAAAAAAGCCTATACACTTCAGTAAGTGATAGGTTTTGAGGGAGATAAGGGCTGATGTATTATTTAGACACAATATTGCCTGAACTCCCTTTGGGAAGAGAAAGCTGCTGCAGAAGGAGGAATTTATAGTGTATACCTCAACCAGAGGCAGTGTGTGATGTGAGGTCGAAGGATGATGAGACTCAAATTGAACAGTGTGTCTTACTGATGTGTATTTTAAGTTAGAGTAGAAAGAGCTCCCAGAGTGGCCATCCCGTTATAAATATAGATGAAAGAGTCTGAGGAAATAAGCTTTCTTTCTGTCTAACATATCACTATAGGAACAAGGTCCATCACTTTGCTGTAATCTGTCATGGCTGTTACTGTGTTTGGTGGTCCATTAACAGAATATAACTCTCATTCCCTATAAGTCTGATAGAGAGCAATTTGCAGTGTCTGTGCCATGACGATTTAGGACATCAGACATGGAAGGTGTTTACCAAATATGTTTTTGGGTAATTTAAAGTATTAAAGTCTCAGAATATTTTTTAGCTGTGATTGCACGTTCTTGTTTGCATTGTTAATTATAATACTTACATGTATTTTAGCTGCTCTCTTGTGCAAGACTGTGAAGTGTTCTGAGCGTGGGTGGAAGTCTACATGTTCCTCAGAACCACATTGAAAGATTGGGACTGCTTGTGTGCAGCTGTTGTTTCATTAACACATAAAAAGAAATGAAGTGCAAATGTTAGCACACATAAAACATCCTGAAGAAATAACATTAGTCACTGATGTGCTGTTAATTACAAGCCTGAGTCATTACTGAATCTAGTTAATACAAAGTTCTCTGAGGGTTGATTTCTAACCAAGGCTGGATAGACACATGCAAGCAATAGGGAATTCTTTTTGCTCAGTCTGGAGGTAAAGAAGGACAGAGTTTAACATATTTTTCTCAAGATGTGAGACATTAGAATAGCCTGTTTGAGTAAAAATGTGAGAATTGTGAGCTCAATAGATATTAAAGATATTTGATCTTTATCACCTGTCATCAATGATACAATTAGCTTATTTTTCTGAAGTCTGTTCACTTGTCTCAAAAAGTAATTCAGAAAATTATTTAGCAAAACAGTTACTTATTCTTTTTTTAATTGAATAGAGTTATTTGTTTTTTGCGTTGCTGTTTGACTTCAATAAAGTTTACAGTATGTGGATTTCCAACCCTACAGTCATCAGAACTTGTAGTAGAGACTGTTTGGAGTGCTCTGGGCTTCTTGGCAGAGAGAGGGAGCTGTATTAAATCACAAGAAACCTGTAGAATGGCATATTTTTATCATGCTTTAATGTTTACCTTTATGAAATGTACATTGTGTTTATCCCATCAACTGTTTCAAATAGGTCCGCCAGAGTAGAATGAATTTGTCGCTCTGTTACAAGAGCAGATTGAAGTAGCACTGCAATTTGAAAAAAAGAGTGTTCTCCACTCTATAGTTATTTAAAAAAAAAGTGAAAAATCATGCACAGCTTTTTAAAAAAGTGTTTGCTCCAGGAGAGCTTTTGATATATGCAATAGATTCATTCAGATTTCATATGAAAGATTCAATCATTTTTTATAATTAGTGCTCAAGATAACTTTACAAAGGTTCTGCTGCAACAAGCCATGAAATTTTTAACTGATTGATTAGTTAAATAGAAGCTCATTCTAGCTAAGATATTAATTGGATAGATCTGATGGATCATATTGGGTAGTGCTAAATGTTCAATAAACACATAAATATGCTCATATATGTGAGAATCATCACATATATTTTTGGTACTGATACAAACTAAAGTTACAGTTTTTTTTTAAAGACTTAAGTGAACACTGAATCTCAGAGCAGGTCAATCCTTATACCTGCTTTTTAATTGTGTGGTGTTTTCTACCTACACATTAAGTCAGTTCAAAGCATTACTTCCCTGTTTGGGTTTCAGCAGCTGCTGCTTTGTAAATTGCTTTTTGCTGTCAGCCTTAGCCTTACCAGACTTATTGTATCCCATTGTTGCTGACAATGACCCTTTGAACTTCACTGTTCAAGATCATGTTTTAACAAAGTGAAGAGTGGCGTTCACACTGCACCCCAAAGTGGCTCTTCCTCCTGTGCAGCCTTGACCCCAGTTACACACCTGGGGTCATGTCTTACAAGGTGCTTTACAGCTGGAAATTTTTTCAGTTGTTTTTTTTTTTTGTTGTTGTTGCCTTCAGTATCTCCTCACTGAATGAATGTGATTAAGAAGAAATGTGTTTTTTTTCCAGATTTTTAGAAAGCAGTTTCTCACATGCATCCTGCTCCTAGTCTTCAAGAGACCACATTTTAAATAAATCACAGAACAATTTAATGTCATTCTGCTAATCTAGTAATTCACAAATGCAAGCCTACAATATGTGCTTGTGAGAAGACAGAAAAAGACAAATTAAAGGACGAGGTAGGTGGAGTGGAGCAGGGTTCTCTTTTCTAGGTACTGCTTTAGAATTGATAAACAGCAACTGCTTTTCCTAAGCTGCCCTTTGTGTTTGTTTCCTCCAAGATCCCCCTACAGCAGGTCCCCTTGTTGCAAATGGAAGCGGTGCCAGCGGCAGTGCAGCGCCATTGAGCGACGACCTCGATATCTTTGGCCCCATGGTTTCCAATCCCCTTCCATCCTCATCATCACAGGTCCCTCAGGTAAGCACGGAACCCTCAACAACATAAAAACCCACAGGAATATTTAACTTCCCAGTGTTTCTTTTCTCCTTGACCACTTGCTTTCTAATTTAATAAGATAAAATTATTACATTTACCTTTCTTGTTAAAGTGGATTAAATTGATTTGTAACGTGCTGGAAAAATTAAAGAGTGCCTAGTGAATAATGTTTACACATTAGCATACTTTGGTAAGGAAATCATAGTCATGAGATAAAGGTAATTACCATTTCTTCTGGATTTTTAATGTCCCATAAATGATGTTTTAGATGGTTCCTTCCTTTCTAGAGATACACTTTGTTCTGGCATTAAAAATTCAACATGATAAATAAAACATGCAGTTTTTAGGAGTGTGTCAGTTCAGTGGTCTGTCTGAAGAAAAGCTGCTATTGTATAAGCATGTTCAGCTGAATATGAAAGTGCAAGAGACAATAAAAAATTTAAAACTTTCATGTTATGAAAAGAACCATTTGGTACACTTGGGAGTTTAAGCATGAACAGCCATTTGTCTTCAATCTGGGAATGTAGTCAGACCACCAGGCCTCGTATGTTTCCAAAGACTCCTGTGGGATTACTGTGCTGCAGTGTGACCAGATTGGGTATTAAGCCAGATAACCAAACAATTCTCTACTTCAATTTATGTATTATTGAAGTATATGCAGAGGAAAACATTTTTCCTTTGTCTAAAAAGAGGCTTTTTGTCTGTGCAAAGCAGTTATCTGTAATACCTATGTGTGCATGAAAACTTACTACATACCATTTTGCATTATAACATGGCATTTTATGCTAAGGTTCTCATTCTCCTTTGATAGTTTAGTAACTTATACTTTTTATACTTCATGCTGGATATAACTTCTTTGTACTCAAATGGTTTTATGGTATCAGCAATAAATACACAATGTTGCTCAAACTCAATAGGATGAACATTCGTATTATATCAGAACCAAAAAAGGGAAGACACATTTCTTAGGCAATGTATGTCACATACAGTATTTATTATGGATCAGTCCTCTCTTCAACTTGAAATGTATGTACTGCCTGCCTTCTGACTGTAGGGCTTCATTAGAATAGAGTGGCTATGAGGCACCCCTGTTTCCCCCTGCAGTGTGGTGTACTGTAGCTGTTCTGAAAGCTGTCCCCTTCTGTCACAATTCCCCAGTTCTGGCACTGGGACATGCGTGTGGCTGTGGTGTCAGTCTCAGGGTCTTGTTGAAAGATTCAGCACTGCTAAGGACATGCTTCACTGATCTAATTAACTGATGAAGAGATGTCTAGCAGGAAGTCACGGTAAAGACTCATTTACCGTATTGAAGGAGAAAAGGGATCAAGTATTTATTTGCATTTTCTAACTGCTTCTTCCAATATAGGGTTGGGGGGGAGCTGAAGCCTATCCTGGCAAGCAACAGACACCAGGCAGGGTACACCCTGGATGGGACACTAGTCCACAACAGGGCACTCACACACACTCACACCAGGGCCAATTTTCACAGAAGCAAATTAACCAGCCGGTATGTGGGAGGAAACTGGAGCACCCAGAGGAAACCAGTATGAACATGGGGAGAACACACTGACAGAACCTCAGGTCCTGAATTGAACCCAGGGCCCCTGAGAAAGTAGTGCTAACCACTGTGTCTCCTGTATGTTTTCATTCTATTTTTAGAAATACATAGCTGTTCCATCATCCCTTTAATATTCCATAATTTGCTTTAAATTATAAGGGTCTAGATTAGATCAATTACTGTCTTCTTTTACACAACCAGACTTCTAAAGGACAACTTTCTAAAAGCATTTATTCAGAGTATACCTTAAGCCCTGAGTCCCTGATGTGAGCCTGAGTTATGTTGTAGCTGGCTGTGGCTTCTGGGGAAGGGTGGGCTGGAGTCTGTCCTGTGAGGTTGCAGTGCTGTCAGTGACAGACCTGCACATCGACCAGCTCTGTAATGTGTGGGACACAGTTCTGATGCCCCTACGGAGGCTGAGCTACAGTAAGTTGATTAGCAAATAGAGATTTCATATTGGGTGGATATAATAAAGAAATACCAGGCATGGTACCAGGGGTGGTTTTCTAGTTTCAGCATAGTGTGTATTATGTTTGTAAATTGATCTGAATTAATTAAGCTAAATTCAGAAAAATGTGGCACAGAGGGAACATCAATGGGAAAACTAGAGCTCAGATAGTTGTCCAAATCAGAAACAAGTCCAAGGCTTGATTCAGATAAATGTAGATTTATGTCATCAATCATGGATTAGAAGAATTGCAAAAACTTAAGACAGAGTTTAGGGGTGGAAGAAAGAGCAGAGTTGTCGGGGAATTTAATGAGCTTGTTAATAACAGAAAGGGCATTTCATCCTTAATGTTGTTTTTTTTGCTTATGTAATAATAAATAATAATTGTACTTAGCCTTGATTGTAATAATTCTTTCCATTTCTTGCTTGGCCTTTCTAATTTCCTATTTCACCTGTGCTTGCCTGTCATTGTATTCCTTTTCTTTGACTGGATCCTGTTTGTTTTTGCTTTGGACTTATTGTATGAAATGTAGGAAGTTTCAAAACAAACTTCAAAGCATAACCATAAGAGGACTACTGTTCCCTAATGGTTGCTTCTGTTTACCTCAGTCTGTCTTGATTGTTGTGTCGAACGTCTGACCCAAATACGTTCAGAGACTCTTGATTTGTCTGGCTTTACTTTCTGAGCCTAAATACTTTTTATAATGTATAACACTGCTCCCCTACCCCACCCTCTTCTATCTTTTGTGTCTCTCCAGAAAAAGATGCGTCCATTAATGTTACATTTTTCTCAATCATTTTCTTTGATTTCAGAAGAGTCATAATTGTCTGCTCATGTGGTAGCTTCTATCTTGTGTAATTTGGTTTCTAATACACCTATCAAGTATGTCTAAGCATTTAATTGCCTGGTCCTTCATTTGGATTTTCTTTGGTCCTTTGGTCCCCCCACCTCCATTTCAGTATAAATGTTTCTGATTTTCCTTCTGGATTCGTGAGACAAGATTCCTCATTTAGATGCAATCTTACACTTCTGTACAGATGGCCTTGCCAAGTTTCCAGAGGCCAAGAAACTTAATCCCTTTTCTGCCCTCCATGTTTTCATGTATACCTTGTGTTAACATTTGTATCTGTTCACCTTTAACTGGTGATCTTCAGAACAAATAGGTTTAGTCCTTTTCTTCAGTTTGTTGACAAATTGTCTGAATTTGTCAACAGATGGAAAGTGTGCTGTTAATATCAATGTCTTTTGTGCCACTAGACACACACACACACAAAAAGAAGATCATGCTTCTTGGCATTGTAATTTAAACAGTGCCCTTGTTTTACCCTTCCAATTAATTCTTGATTAATTTATTTAGCATTTTAACTTGTCATTAGACAGAACTCATGCAATGCATGTAGCTATATCCTCTTTTCCTAGAAGAGATAGTCCTGTTGAATGGATGTTGATAGCAAAATATTTAAGCATCTTGAAGCTATTGCAGAGTAAAATTGTGAAAATTGAAAAGTTAAAATTTTCAGTTTATAATAACATAGTATGAAGCCTATTAATAACAAGATATAATTTACCTTAATTGTAGAATATTGTGTCATGCTAATTTCCAGTGACGTTAGCTGAAATCTTAACCCCATGCCAATGTGCTGTGTAGCCCAGCCTTAGTTTAGATCATGAAGCTTATCAGTCCACTTTCTCTATGTAGCTTGTGGGCTGTGGCTAGTGTATGTTTTCTTGCAGCTCAACCAGATTATATAGTCTAGGAGTCTAGCTATGACTCGCACTTGGTTCAGAATTAATCAAGGGGGGAATGGTGTCTCCTGTAACCATAGAGAAACCAAGATTCATCTTTACAACAATGTGGGCCATGCTGTCATAGGGAAAGGCCTTGGGGGAAGGTTTCCAATTCTGTACTGTCTGTGCTTTGTCTCTTTTTCATTTTTTGAGAACTCCACATTGAATGCTTGAGTTAAGGCAATTTCTTACTCAAACTGAGAGGAAGTAAAGTTTTTCTTCTAGCCTTCACAAATATTTAACCATTTTGGTAATCATCCAGATTTATTTTTAAACATATAATCATGTACAGTATCTTGTTGAATGGCTCAGCCACATGTGCCATTATACCGGTTACAGTTTGAATGACAAAATCAATTCTGTGCTAAAATACAAGTCAATAGAGTGTGGCAGTGATATGCCACTGAATTATTTCTCTACTTAAAGCTACACATTACGAAATGTCTGCTCAGTGGTATGAAGTATCTGTTCTGGCTTTCTGCACTTTGGTAAGGGGCAGAACGCAAGCACAGCTGGTCAGCAGGTAGCAGCACTGGGGCATTCAGAACCACATTCAGAAGGTAAAATTCAACTTCAATACAAAAATAAAGCACTAACTTGAAATTGTAGGTTTTAAACAGCATAAGTTCAATTAACAAAATAAACAGTAAGAGTAATAGATATTTTTCTTGTTTTCAACATTTACTTAGCTCTTGCTACCAAAACAAAAATTTGAATATGCACAGTAAAACACCTTGGGGCAATTCAGGCAGAATGGCTCCTGTGGTAGTATACTCCTGAGCTGTGTGAATCGGTGGTAGTAACTGCTTGTTTAAGCTGTCAGTGCTCCACCTGTCTTGATGCCCAGGCCGTGTAAACAGGTGTTACCTTGGAAACTGCTGGACCTCTGACTCTAATGTGATGAACTGAGAAATGGCAACAGTTAATAACATTGCTTACTTGCGGGCACATTCATTCTTAGGGTTAAGGTTCTAGATCAAGGTTGCAAGTTTAGATTCCGTGTGGGACACTACTCTTGGTGTTTAATGTATGTAACGTAGAAATAATCTAAAGATGTGGGTTTCTTGCATTTTTACTAATATAAATAAAGACAATTTACAAGCTCTTAAAGTAAATATTAATATTCAACAAAATTATTCAGCAGGATAAAATCTGCTGACCACATAAAAATAATTACAATATAATAATGGTGTGTAGCTGGTGTAGTTTTTTTCCCCCCGGTATGAAAGAACAAAATAAAAAATTCTAGAATGCAAGATTTTCATTGTTAAAGTCTGGTGAAAAATCCATTACAGCCTCTCCTGTCATCGTCTGTGCCTGGTAGAAGAAATAAATCACAATGATTTAGGAAAGGTGTCCTGATAGAAGGTAAAAAGGGTGGATGCTTTGTACTGCCTGTCACAGAGACAACTGTGCAAAGAGGTTAATCTCTTTGCCTGCATAATTGTGCGATGTTCGCTTTAGAATCAAGATCAGGCTTTTTACACACATATGGGATCGCAAGATGCTTAGTGCTGGCAGATGAGGCTGTCTGAGTGTAGATTTATTTTTGAATTATGTAAGGGCTGTCTTCAGCTCCCTCCCTCATACATTATTTATTCTTATCCCTTCTCTTTGTCCATGTGTGTATCCCTCATGATCTGCCAGATTCTCAAAAATGTATTACAGGACAAAAGAAAGGCTGCCATGTTATCTGAGGCAGCAGTTTAGTCCCATTTCTGCTTATTGTTACTGGGGCAGGGATGAGTCCTTGAGGGCAAGAGCTTCAGGTTTCACAGGCTCTTTTCCACTGGGAACCAAGAGTGAAAAAAGCAGTTGATAGAAATTATTTCTTCAATACATTTAGATTGAGAGATTGAATAAATAATGTAGCCTGTAGACCACTCCTGTATCCTTTAAGAACTGAAATGGTTCATCCTCACCAAGGTTATGAGTAGTCATGTATTCAATTTCTTGTTTAATCTGCCAAATATGTCCTTCATAGAACAAAACAAAAACTCTTTAGTTTCAGTTTGTTTCTACTTGACAGCAAAACCTAGAACCTCAAAGCCATTCATGAAGGATACAGTTGGCGGTCTTGCAGGTAGAAAGCTAATACTTGTAGTCTTGTAGGTCTGTCTAAATTAAATCATAGCATGCAAACACAGAATAACTGATGTGATCATACTTTCACTCCTGAATGGCTGACACGCACTGATGGCATTGTTCGTCATTTTCTACTTGCTAACAGGCTAATCTGCCTTGCGTTGATTTACAGGCACCCACTTCATCATTGTGAGTGAAAGGCAGAAAATCAAGATGTGTTCAGAATGTTAATGTAAATACAGTGACACTAATAGTGCTGCAGATTGAATTTGCAATTATGTCTCTAAATGCCTGCATATTTTTATTACTGATCTGATTTTGAAAACTTATCATTTTTCATTGTTCTTACACAGTATTAAGGAGTTCTTTTGTTCAGATGTGGGAGAAAATGAATTGGCTAGTAGTGTATCAGGAAATGACACTTTTTACACAAAGCATAACGCTGATGAACATGTCCAAAAAGTTAAGTTTCATCTTCTTCTGGCAGTCAGTTTAGGTTTCATTTGTCATTCAGATGTACTTTGGAAAATTTGAGTTGCCTCTTTTTTGATATGCCCTCAGAGGAGGTTTTTTCCTTGCAGTCTGGTCATTAATGCAATATCCATGCAGATTACATAAAATAGTTAAATGGTAGTTATCTTGACGATTGTAGTTTGTATTAGAAATCCTTAAATTTTAATTCATGTTATAAACCTTAACAAAATTATGAAAAGCTATTTAGCTAAGAGGGTATTTAAAGTTGTGGCTTCACAAATGGGCCTTTTGATCCACAGGTAACCTCCAGTAAACCACCAGCAGCAAACACAGCCACTGTGACTGGGGATCTGGACCTTTTTACTGAACCTGCCACCAAATCAGAGGATTCTGGGAAGAAGCCCCTCTCCAAGGATTCCATTCTATCTCTCTACAGCACTGGGAGCATGGCACAGCAAACAGCTCCTGGTATTGTGTCTTTCTCAGACTTTTGCTCCATCAATGCAATATAAAAAAGCTGTATTTGAGTATGGGAAAGAAGCTGGGAATAAACAGTGTAGTCTCTGGGGAAATTTCCTTGTACAATGAATCTTTTTATGCAGATAAAACAATTGTACAGATTTACATTTGAACTTCAAAATATGTAACCTTTTCAGTGTTTGCTGAGACAATACTATGAGCATAAACATTCATTAACAGTTATTTAATCAGTTATTTAGGTATTGTTCATTTGAGCATCTGATTTTTAATAACAGAAGTCCTGACTGCTATTTAAACATAGACTTCAACATAAGTCTAGACTTCAACATAACAGCAAGCCGAAATATAAAATAAAGATATTTAAAATCTTTTTTTATCTGAAAAATAAATTTTACTCTTTCAGTCCTTGTTTCTTCTCTTTCATTAGATTTTATCCATTGTCAATCAAATTGCATAGCAAAATTTCTGTCACTGCTACTGCTGAAGGAGAAAACCATACACTGTCTACCATGCTAACTGCTTTTGCCTTGTTTGTATATTTTCTTCAGCTGGAATGTTCATGGGACCATCACAGTTGCAGTTTTCCTCCCAGCCCTCTGCAAATTTCCAGGGCTTTCCAAACATGGCAGGAACCATGCCCCCCCCTGCGGGTATGATGGGACCTGTGATAGGACAGACCATGTCTATGATGGGACAGAATCCTGGCATGATGGTTGGCATGACCATGCCTAACGGGTTTATGGGAAATGCGCAAACAGGAGTGATGGGACTGCCGCCGAATGTGATGGGACCACAAGGTGGAATGGCTGGAAATGTGGTCAACCCTCAGAACATGTACACCATGCAGCCCAACCAGCAGGGACAGTGGAATATCGGGCAGGTATGAGCAGGAAAATGCCTTTTCTCAAGTCCCTTGACTGGTTTTGGGAAAATTCTTGTGTCCGTTTTCATACAGTAAGTGAAAGAATACTGTCATATACAGTAATAACACAATAGCTTGAAATATTTTATGCAATCCATTTTTTCATTTTAGCTTTGAACTGAGAAATTCCTAATCCTGTATGTCTGTGAACATTAGTGTGATATTAAGTTGCACCAACCACAGAAGATGCCATAAAAATCAATGCTGTGAAACCCCTTGCACATCTTTTTTTAATGTTGCTGGAGATTAAGCACCAATGTTCTCAGTCTTCAGGAGGTTAATTAGATAACATAAATCAATTGAATGCACTTCAGATGTGGTTGTACTAATTAAAGGCCTCGACACACCATTTGCACATATGAGCATCGTAAAGTTAAATGCCTGAAGCGCTATGTTTGTCATTGTCACTGTTTTTTAATCAAGAACTCACGTTAATGTTTGCTCCCATAAAATGGTGCATGCTCTTGTACAGTGTACAGAGAAAGTTCGCTGGTGTTTATAGCGCATCTATTGTGAAACATAAATAGAGCTAATTAGCATTGCATCTTTTCTCCCCTGAGAACTGAGTGCTGTTGTTTTTATGTTTCAAACAGAAACATATATCTAGACTATACTCAAAGGTAAGCATCTAAAGTGATTAACAGATCTGAGCAATTTGTCATTGAATATAGACAACATATACCAGAGGGTGAGCTTTTGAAAGGTTTTAGAATTTTTTGTGTTTGATTATAATTATTCCATTATTAAGATAATAAAATTAAGAAGGGTTTAGTTAGTTCTATTCAAGTGTTATGTTTTTCTAAAATAACAACATCTACCATTTTGGCTGTTATTCTATAAATTGTATATTGTTAAGCCATTCAGATAGCGAGATTATTTTAAGATACTGTTTCTAAGTAGAATTATAATTGTCCAGAAGAATTAGCTTTCAGAAAAAAAAGTCTCATTTACTTGTCCGGAAGTCTGTAAATCTGGATATTGCTCTAGCAGAGTGAGTTTCAAGCACAGACACAATTACACAGCTGAAAAGAGCTTTCAAAGCCTTGCTTCGGGTAATAGATGTGATTCGCAGCTTGTCATTTTTGATCAGTCTGATGGCTCATTCAGAGATGGATAGGCTGAGTGTACTGAAGAGCTGGACATAGGTGCTTGTATTAGCTGATTTCATACTTGCAGCAATGTTTTAATATGCACCTCCTGCCAAAGTTTTATAGATTTCTGATTATTTTTTTCTGATGAGTTCTTTTCAGGTTTGTTGTGCATATGAAGGACAAAAAGTGTGATAATATACTTAATAAGTCTTGATAATCAGTGTTGAAAGGAGTTTCTGTACTGCTGTCGTTTTTGCTCTTTGTCAGATGAATCAACAGATGGCAGGAATGAACCTGAATGGCCCCAGTGGAGCGATGGGCTTTGGCCAGCCTGCGAACACCATGGGGAGCTGGACGGGGAGCTCCACAGGCCAGACCCTCAGCACACAGCTGTGGAAGTGAGCGAGGGAGCTAGCACCCAGAGCAGCTCGACAGCCCTGCTCTAGCGACACAGACGCTTTGTTTTACCCATGTACTGACACGTATTTTCTTGTTTCAAACCATTAGTACTCTGGAGAATATCCACTCAGTCCCGTCGTGTGTACTGATTGAGTGACTGGAGTGTTAAGCGTACAGACTGGCAGCTTGTCCGTCTTATTTGCAAAATATGTTTTCTTAAAGCATATCAGCAAGAAGCTGCTGGACCAATTATATCTAATGTATCATTACCAAATCAATAGTGAGTAATAGTATTTAAATGGCAAAAAGATATGGCTATCATGTTTGTGAATCCCACCTCTCCTCTTGCCTTCCCTCATATCTGTATACCTTCCATGACCGAATAACCCTGTAGAAGATATTGTATAAGCAAATGTACTGTATGTTACCATTAATAGGAATATCTGCTGATCAGTAAAGGTTATTTTGTTCCACAGACCATCTCCTCAGTTGAAATCATTTTTCAGTTTTACTGTGATGTTTATTGTGTGCATTACAGAGAAGCACAGTAAGGAAACAGATGTATAAACCTGGATGACCCAAGACTGCAGTTCTGTAAAATACAACTGGAAAGGCTATGACTTTCAGATGTCAGCATTTACAGTAAATGTCAAATATGGCAAAAAAATCCACAAACCATACAAGCAAACATTTTATATATATATACTTTTGCAGAGTTTGTTTGAATATAGACAGGGTCACTCTGCTTCGCAATAATTTGAGAAAACAAATCTGTTCTCCAGGTTTATTTCTATATTGTGTTTACATTTTATGGTGCCTAGTACAGTTAAGATGTTATTTCTGTATATTAAAACCGTAAATATCCATGAGAATTATGTGATCATTTTGTCTATTGCCTGGTTTATTGTAATGGGTTTCCCTGTTTGCTTTCTTGTTTTTAAAAGAGGGTTCTTCAGAATAAAGATAATTCTGCTCCACAGACCTGCTGCGTACAATTTAATATGTTCAATAAATTACACATAAATAAATTTGAGAATAATAATAAGTTGTGGGTATCTCATATTTTCAAACTCCAGAAGGTAAAGTTAAATTTTCTCTTAAATGGGCACTTCAAATTACTTTTAACTTGCCTCCTGAAATTAGAATGTCACCAGGACTGAAATGGTCCATTTATCGGAAGAGAGCTCAGAAGAGGAATCAGACCGCATGCAGGAAAAAAACAGAAGTATGTGTGTTATCTGCAGTATTCTGTTGATGAGGGATAAAGGTCCATCACATGAGAGCTGGTGTATGTTTAATGGAGAAAGGTTGAAGAAAGCTCAGTAGGTCAACTCTGATATTTGCTTTATTTTCCAACCAGCCCCATGTGGCTCTTGCAGTCCTTGTTACACCTCAATCTGAACTGTATCTTGGCGGTGCTTTGGCTCATTCCCTAGGTTCACTTTTTCGGTCCGAGTGTGCCAAACCAGGACCTGGGCAGAAGAAAGGAACAACACTGCAGTGTTAGCTCTTTCAAAAAAAAATTGTACATAGTAGTTAACCCATGGCTCTATGTTTTTAATGTAATAATGCAGTATCTGGGTTACAGCTCCATTTCAATAAAAAAACACTTAATTGATCATCGGTGATGATTTTTCTCAATAAACATCCTTCAGAATTCTTCTTTTAAATGCAGCTAACTGTTCTTAATGGTTCTGACTTGTCCCTACACTGACCTTGTCTTTTGTGTTCCAGTTTGTGACATACTGTTCAGTACGAAGAAGACGGTATCTATATGTGCTTCATACCTAAGGCTTAAACGAACATATGGAATTTGCTAAATGGTTTTCCACTTGTTAATAAGATGTTTTAATAGCACTAATATTAATTTCCAATAACTATAAATTCCCCTGTACAATTTAACTGTACAGGAAAGAAAAGCCCATATGTGAATGTAACAAGAAGAAAACTAAAGCATTTAAACTGCCATGGTTCTTTAAAAGAACTATGAATCATTTTGTGTAAAGTTATTAGTAGCTAAAGCTTCCACCACAGTTCTCTCCTCTGACTATTACAGCTTGATCTTATTTGAACCCAGTATCAGCAACAATGCACTGTACAGATGACGATTGTAGTCAATTACAGAATGTTACTTTAGAAAAAAAATGTAGGTAGAATAAAGAAGTCAGCAAAAATAAATTGCTTTATTAAGGAAAACATATCACTCTTTTAAGTTACAGTAGCCACATAATTTCCAGTAATTTGTGATAGAGCCTGAGGTAGCTATGAACACCTCCATTATGGCCTTCTCAATCCTGGTTCTGCAAAGACCACTTGACTTGTTTTTAGTTCATAGAACAAAAATCACTGCACAATGTAAGATCATGGTGTGGAAATTATGATCATGGACAATATGTACTGTGAAATACTGAATTATTAAAATTTACCAACAGTTAGCAATGTCTGTTAGTACTAAGACATTTACTTGACCAAAACCTTTAGTCATAGTAATGTTTAAAACATACAAGTCTTCACCACTAGAGCTGGAATCAGTGGCAACACTCAGAGGTCTGGGAAGTTGCACTACAATATGTCAGTTTAAGTGAAAAAGTAACTATAGCTCACACAGACTGTTTTGTAGGCGGCATCTGACTTACACAGGTGAATCAATAAAAGGCAGATTTCCATAGATTGTTCCAAATGTAGAAAAAGATAAAAAGACCCATCTTTGTCTTCCTTTCCTTAAAAAATAAAATACATTGCTGCTAAAGACATTTTTCTGTCCCTTAATTACAATAATGTACAGTACCAACAGTAAAACAAGTCCAGTTTTTGTTTTGGTACTGTAGCACTACTAAATTTAATTCTTTTTTAATGTGTGTTTTGAAAGCAAGAAAACGAAGGCTGGGGGTGAGACCAAATCCAAAACGGGCATTTTTCTGCCTCTTTTACGGTGCCAAAATAAGGGTTCTTTTAAATCGAACAGGATCATACAAACCCACAGCATGAGTATTTTATAAGCACTAGTTCGTAAACAGCACCTCTAGCCTCTTAATGCGGATCGTGGTCGCTAAGTAAAAAGTGACTTAAAAGGAGCATCTCACTTCTTCGTTTTACATCACCAAAACCACACAACCTTTTATCAATCGAAAAAGGTTCAACTAGGGCTTCACAGAACCGTTTTCAGAACTGAAAAAAAAGTTCATTTAATCAAACAAAGTCAGTGCGTGGCGTAGTCGCAAGCAACCACGGTGTAAATCAATATTTACTTTTGAGTCCTGCGTCATATTTAATCGTTTTTTTACCAACAAAACCACAAAACCTATCGATCGAAAAAAGAACAACTGGAGCTTTAAAACAACACTTTTTATCTGATGATGCACTTCCAAAATTCCAAAGTGCATTGATAAGGTAATCAATATACCAGCAAAACAAGACCACAAAAGCAAAAACCAGCAAAAAAATATATATATCTCCATCCATCCCATGTTTTTTACCATATTCTGAAGCACAATATATATCCACAAAAGGCTAGACTAACCCACCTCTAGACCTGGAGGAAACTGAACGTTATTGTCTTTGGAACAGATATTTGAAATGGGACCGCCAGAAATAAAATGATCTGATTAGTAAAAACCAGTGTCATTCATTGTATTTTAAGCCATTCAGAGCCCTTAGGGGGTAAGACTTCCTCTAGAAGCCTCAGGCTACATGCCACTTGCTTTCTAGCTGTCCATCATTGAGTCAGAAGGGGTAATCAATCAGTTTCTTATCGGTGGTTCTTTTTTTCACACCAGAATGCAATTCTGAGGTTTTTTTTCAATGCCTAACAGCAGAAAAAGGTTCTCTAGTAGTGTCTAAAGGTTTTTATAGCAATTGCAATGGTTCTATTGTTACTGCTTTCAATATTTGTTATGATTTATTTATTACTGTATATGTGAGAAATTTCATTCCAGGTCCAGTCTTCACAAAACATTTTGTAGAATTTTTTCAAATTGATCAATTTGTCCCAAATTTGTATCCAAGCTAGTAGACACCTAGGACAAGACTACAAAGCTACCTGACAGGCCTAGGATTGAAAATTGTGACCTCTGAAGACCAAAACAAACTTTCCACCTGCTGTTTCTTGGGGTTTTTTTCCATATGTTTATCTGCTGAGTGGACATATTATGAAATAAAAGAAATTTGTTCATACTCAAAGCCAAGGGGGTAAGCTTCAACTTAAGACCTGAACCAGGCTTCTGCCATGTTCTGCTGCAGAGATATAACAAAATGTTTAAGAGGAGGAAATTCCAGGGGGACATTGGCTAAAAGGGTCTCCAGCAGTCATAGGGTAGTCTTAATTTCTTTTCTCCACTGGCCCTGTTGTTCTGTTCACATTTGTGCCACAGTGTGGTCACTCCTAAAGACTGAACATGGTATTTGCACTGACTGAAAAAAACTAACTTTTTTCATGTGTGCTGGAAGAAATATTTCTTTGTTGAATACTGCACCTCCATCAGTCTTAACACTTTAACTTCACAGCCACCTAACTACCACTGTCACATCATGAGTTGTGTATCCCATTATGGCTATTGAGGATTCGTGTATTTTAACAACATTGCATTGCTTACCCTAGTGCAGTTTTGTGCTTTTGGTTCAAGGTCTTGCACTTGTGTGATCTGTTTTAGGAAATCAGACTCCTGCATTCCTGGCTGGGATCCACGACGCTTGAACACAGCTTTAGGGTTAGCCAGGATAATCCGAAGACTCACAGCAAAACCTTAAAGAAAAAAACTTTTTGGTCAGGATTCATGAAGCTCCAAGTGGCTCACCATTGTTCCAGAATTCATACTGTATGGTCTTATGATTGAAACAGTATTCCATGAACCTTTCACATGAAGAAACATAATAAAACAAGTCATTGCTGATGTTATAAGGAACCTCTGTCTGTGTTACAGCTGCAATATCAATGAAAACTCAGCAATGTACATTAGATTGTAGATAGATTAAAAATGCAGGGGTTCTAATACACAATACCATCCTCTGTCAGAGACTGTTCTGTATATGTGCAATAAGATTTCGATTTAAAGAACAAAATTTAAAGGCTCAGAACTCTGCTTAGTAAAGGCTTTCATGAATGTCTTAAAAAGCTCTTCATTCCCTGCTTCAAGTACTGTACACTTCTTGACAATGAGAGGAGAACAGGTTTCAGTGTGGAATGAATATCATTGTGCTTCCTACACAACTGATAACAAAACAGCTTGATATAACTAATGAGAATAGTTATCCTTAGGCTGTCAAACACTGCTGCACCATTAAATTATCAGCCCACTGAAGTAATGTCAGAAAGAAAATACCATGCAAAATCCAATTTACAGACATAAAACCCATTTTTAAAATTTAGATCAATCAAATTATTTAAGTTTCTTTCAATCAAAAACAAATCATAAATAATAAGGGTTTTTTTATTTCTATTTTTATGTTTCTAAACTAGATTTTAATGTTATTTTATCCTACAAAACGTGAAACAGGAAGACACAATAATTACTACACAATTAATATACTTCAAACTATCTTCGAACTTCAAACAGCAGCAGCTGGGAAACTACTGTGATGTGTGAAAGTCTGCAGCTGATGGGCTTTTGCTGGAGGTGCCATGCTGTGCAGGAGAAGTAAAAGAAAGAGGCACGAGGGAAGATTCTCCTGTCAAGATGCAATTACTGACACTATAACTGCGAAGACTTGAAGTTTCATAGATCCTAGAGTCTTAAAATATGTTGTGGATTCTTTTTTCTTGTCAGAAGACTGACATGAACTAGTAAAAACAAAGTCTGCTGTTGCAAGACCTAAACTTGCTATGTTTTTTTCTAATAGTGGGAATATTTTTGTGTATATATACCTAAATGTGATTTGCAAAACCAAGTTAGACACCTTGATATTCATAGCAAAACCAATGCATTTAATGGATTTTTTCCATCTTCTCTGTTAGGCTAAAGTCAGTCTACGATGCAACACAGGGAAGACCAAGAGGTACCAGAATAGGAACATCATCTGGCAAACAATCATCTCTTGCTTATCCAGTGCTTAGCCAGCAACTAACACCAGCACCCTGAAACATTCTCCAGGCAGGATAACTTTCATTTAAGTTTCGGTTTAAAAGGGACAACTTCTTTTACCAATTTTTTAAACATGGTATAGCAGTCCATCACTGGGCACACAGACACACACTCACTCTAACTAATTTTCCCAGAATTTAATTAAACTAGCAGTATGTCTTTGAATTGTAGGAGAAACCTAGAGCACCCCAAGGGAACACAAAAACTCAGAGAGAACATGCACACTCCACATAGACTGCACAGCAGGTCCACAACTGAAACCGGGGCCCCAGTGCTGACCACTGTCCCACTGTCCCACCCCGACATACAAAATATGTTAATTTAAAAATACAAATAAAATAACAAAGATATCATTATTTCAATTTGTGTGTGTGTACAGGGAGAATATAAATTATAATTCATTACTATACATTTTGGAGAATTTACTAATACATGAAATATGCTTACAAATCCATGTGCTTCATCACTCTGCCACCAGTGTTACTGACACTGAGCAGAGATATCACGTTAATGTCTTTCAGACTTATAAATCCAGAACGTGAATATCTTTGTGTTTTAAACCTTAGCTACAGTATACTGGGCTGCATAATTATGGGCTTTATTTCTTATAGTTGGTTTTCATGTAAGCAATAATATCCATTAATGGTGCATTTGTTATTTAATTATCAGGATACATTTGGTAATATTGTTATGACTTAAATCATAAAATGAGCTGTTTAGGTAGCTGTAGGTCAGCTGTGAGACAAAAAGGACCAAAAATAATCTTCTATTCTACTTAAACATAATAAAGGCTAAACATTTAACACAAAGAACAAAAAATGATACTGACAGAGAGAGGAGATAGGAAATTAACAGAAAGAAGAGGCAGCACAGGGTGAGGGAACTTGTTCTGATTCTGGATTTTACTCCTGAGGAACTGCTGAAGATTATGAAAATAATCACAAGCACAGCTTTCTAAACTTTTTTATAGAAATATGTAGCATTTTAACATCTAACCAGTTTTCTGCAGCTAGTTTACAGCCTTTGTTTTCAGAATTCAGAGTTCAACAGTGGTGCAGGAGCTGGAAAACTGGATATAAAACAACTAGTGACTGAATTTGCAGAACTGAAACAAGAAAAATGTATTTTTAGAGCAGAGTGTTTTTTTTCTTTGTAAATACAGGATAAAGCTAATTGAAGAGTTTTCTTATTTCACTCCATCTTGAATGTGGCAGTAATGGTAACTAAACTGCAAAATTTAGCTAAATTAATTCTTAAAGTTATTTTATTTGAAGACAGACAAGCATTGTTTGGACAGGTGGACTGAACAATTAAACCTTGTTTTAAAAAATGCTTTAAAAGGAGGCAAAAATGTTCTACAAACCACTCTAACAAAAATAAGGTGGTGGGAAGAGGCACCAATTGCACAGGACTCTAAGGACACCATTTACTTTTGTTCAAGGGCCACCCCATCACTTAGGTTTTCAACAAAACTACCATCTACATGTACTTTAATTTTGCACCCTTTAAAATGTGATACTATATGAACCACAATTTCTTAGAATTAAAAAGTGTACAAGTTCTGCGCCATATTACTAAAGTCTTTTTTGTGATTAAAAGACAATTTTGTTCTTTTCAAGCATTTTATAAGTGTTATATAGACAGAAACGGAATAATTTGACTTAATGCGAAAAATCTGTCCCACACCTACAAGGGTGTTGTCATCCCTTATTCAGTCACCCAGATCTTCATATAATTCTGTGGGCTGTCATTTAGTATCATCATGAAAATGCAAGTTTTTGTAGGACTTTCTTATTTAATATAGAAAATATACTTGATTATTGATAAACATAATAAATGCTGTTACTGTTCATACAGCAAATTTACCAGTCTTTTTAAATTGAACACCATCAATAATTTTAAATGACAGCCCACTTGAGCTCAGCAGGTGTGAACCTGGCCAGCTCCCTGTATGGGAGACTCCTGGGAAAGCTGGATGTGGTGTCAGTGGGACCAGTAGGGGGTACTCATAATACCCCAGTATGTTGATGGGGAAACTATACAGTAAAAAACTGTCCTTCAAATGAGATGTAAAACCAAGGTCCTGATTCTCTGTGATCATTAAAATCCAGGGTGTTTCTCGAAAAAAGTAGGGGTTTTACCCCAGTGTCCTAGCCAAATTTCCCATTGGCCTTTACCAATCATGGCCTCCTAATAATTCCCATCTCTGAATAATTATTATTATTAGCAGTATTGGCAATTAACAATTATAATTAAATATCTTTGTTATTTTTTCTGCATGTCATTAGGTTCAGATTATTTCTCATAACCCAAAGAATGCAGTTTTAGTGCGCTAGTTCTGTTTGAGGTACCAGCTCTATTTGCAGCCCTGCTAGTTCTGACTTACCTGCCATATCGATTGCGAATTGTCGGTCTGCCCTCCAGCCTGTATACCAGCCCACCACTCTTCCTTTATCCACTAGGGGGCGCTCATACCGCCGCCCACCGACAAGACCAACCGGCCAAACCGATACCATGCGTGTTGTTCTCATCTGGCACCAGAAACAGAAGGTAAATTATTTCATTATGATTATAAAAATGTGATGCTAATATCTTCTAAAAAAAAGAGGTAAAATGAGTTACATTTTTTCTTTTTATGATTTTTGCAAGTGATAAGCAGTAGTTTGGATTAGAGTAGAACAGAAATTATTCCATATTTCCAAGATTGTAGGTTTAAATCCAAGCGGGAGACTAATGTTGCACCCATTTGAAAAATCCTTCAGATTCCATTACCTAAATAGCCTGTTGTATAAATCTGTACTTGTCCATTTAAAAGAAAATTTTCTCAGTTAAAATACTCTTTCCGAGAACCAATCAATAACAATTACTGCAGATAACAAAAAAGTCTTTAATACTCAAATTTAAAAAGTGCTGTCAGTGTGGAGTTTGTATGTTCTCCCCATGTTCATGTGGGTTTCCTCCAGGTGCTCCAGTTTCCTCCCCAGTCTAAAGACTGGTAGGTTAACTTGCTTCTGTAAAAAGTGCCCCTGGCTGCTTTATGATTATAAAAAGGTGATACTGTTATAATCTAAAAGAGTTAAATATTATGTCTAGTCCAGTATTATTCCTTTTACTCTGTTCTTTAAACCTGAACTGTATTATACAACATCTTACTTTCAATTAGGTATTTAAAGTGTCTAAGCATATATTTTTGTATATTTCTTAGAAGATAGATAGATAATACTTTATTAATCCCGTAGGGAAATTGATGTGTTAAAGCAGTCCAGCCCAAGACAAGCATAACAGACATCAGAATACTTATAAAACAAAAGACAATAAATACATAGGTGTGTGCAAAATGTGCTGATCATAGTCACTGTAAAAACAATAAAATATGTGCAAAATGTGCATAGGTTTATACAGACTGATTGTCCAAAAACGTACAATGGAGAAGGAGTAGTGTGTATAAAAACCTAAGCCATATCACCCTGCAACTCACAACTGGCAACCCACTGAAGCTAAGCAGGTGTGAGCCTGGTCAGCACCTGGATGAGAGACCTCCTGGAAAAAACCAAGGTTATTGCTGGAAGAGGTGTTAATGGGGCCAGCAGGGGAAGCTCACCCTGTGGTCCATGTGGGTCCTAATGCCCCAGTATAGTGATGGGGACACTATACTGTAAAAACAGGCACCGTTCTTCGGATGAGATGTAAAACCAAGGTCCTGACTCTCTGTGGTCATTAAAATCCCAGGGTGTTTCTTGAAAAGAGTAGGGGTGTAACCCTGGTGTCCTGGCCAAATTTCCCATTAGCCCTTACCAATCATGGCCTCCTAATAATCCCCCTCTCCTCCCCACTGATAGCTGATGTGCGGTGAGTGTTCTGGCGCACTATGGCTGCCGTCACATCATTCAGGTAGATGCTGCACATTGGTGGTGGAGGGGAGTCCCCATTACCTGTAAAGTGGTTTGAATGGAGTGGAGTGGAACTACTGTATATAAGTGTAAGCAATTATTATTATTAAAATGCAGCTTTACAAAACATCCTGTCATCCAGGTACAATAATGTGCTCACAGGCACTGGTGTTTGTTGATACAAAGTATTCAAATCTTTTTGTAATACAGCATTATTTTAAAAATTTCAGAAAAAGCATTTTCTTTGTATTTTTAAGTAAATGTCAACAAGGTTATTTGTTGATATTTACCTGATAGAATTTTTCACTTCCTTCCTAGTTCACATGATATTCCTGCCTCCTTCAAAGGCCATGCCGTTCAGTTTAAATGACATCTCTGACTTGCGCGGGTGCACGCGTGCGTGTGTGAGATCAGACTCGCCCGATTCCCGCCCTGGACTCCAGCTCGCCGTGACCCTTAAGATTAGGCGATCACTTTAAACTGTGGTCTGCATATCACCATCTCTAAGGAGAAGGAGGAGACTGAACTTCACAGCACGTTTCATGATACATTTTGATCCAGGAAATTACTTAAAACGAATCTCGTAGAAAACATTACACCTATCGTGACCTATCAAGGCCATACAATGTACACATTTCCATTTAATGTAAAACGATGTCTTCCAAGTGATAAAACGCATTTTAAACACATCGGAGTAATTCTAACCTATACAGTTTTACATACAAATACCTCTTTATAGACATTTAACTGATAAATTAGTACAATAAATATTG